TCCACCTTTCTCGCTGTTCCGCTCCCTTTTCCCCTTTCCCTTGCCTCTCCCTGCTTCTTTTCCTTCCTCTGCCACCGCTGTTACCCGCAGTAGCGCAGAGAGGGCGGCGAGGGCGCAGCAGGAGGGGCCCGAGGGCAGACACAGCCCTGCGAGGAAAGGAAAAGAGGGGGAGGGAGAGGCGGCGCAGAGCAAACGGACAGGAATAAGAGGAGGAAGAAGAGGAAAACGATCAGGAGGAAGAATCATCACATGAGAGTGAGGATGATGAGGAAGGCTCAAAGTTCAGGGGGGGTCGCTGGGAGAGGGGAACCGAGCTATAAATATACCAATATACATATACATATAATATATATATATATATACACACACGCATATGTCACAACATGTATAAACACGTATCTACAAATATACATATTTACATGTGCATGTATACACGTACATGCATACGTATACATACACATGTACATATACACATCCATATAACTACACATGTGCATCTACATAAACATACACAAGTTTACATGAACATAAACATATGCATATAAGTACGCACACACATTCACATGTACAAATACATGCACATGTACATATACGTATACGTAAACATATGAACATACACATACACACATGCATATACACACGCATTCACGCACACCTCTGTACATATACATATACATATACAAGTAAACACATACATACCTACAAGTACACATGGACATACCTGCACATAAACAGACACACATATAGAAATACAAATGTATGAATGCATATGCATGTGCACATACATATGCATGTACCTATACATGTACATATGCATGTTGCTGTACATATACGTATACATATACGTAAGCACACATATACATGTACATATACATACGAATACGCATACATACATATACACATACATATACATACACATACACATACATGGACATAGGCATACATATATATATATATATATACATGCAAGACTATAAACATGTACCATCACACATAAACACATGTGTATATATATATATACATGTATATATGGTTACACATACATGCACATACACGTATACTTCTATACAAACATATGCATATATACACAATTCATGCACATAGACATATACATATACATGTGCATATACATGTATGTATATATATACATTCATACATACAAATATTTTCATAGGGCCGGGAACCCCGGAAGAAGTGCCCCCCCCCTTAAGGAATATGGTCCACCCCGCAACCCTCAAGACGGACGACCCAGGAGAACCCCACGCGAGCCCGAAAACGGCCCCAGAAGGTTCCAGGCATTCCGGCGCGCTCCCGAAACGGCCCCAAAGAACCCCAACACAGTCCACGACCCCAAAGAAGCCGTCATGCCCCTAAAATTCGCCCCAAAACCTCCCAAGAGGCCTCCAGGAGCACTCCCAAGAAGGCCACAAGAGGAAAGAATCATTGACCTTCTATCGGATTTTTGAAAATTTTGGGGTTGTCCGTTTTTCAGCTTCCCGACGCTCCAAGACGGCGGTCTTCTGGGCGTCGAAAATCGCCCCGCAACCATCCGAAAGAGCTTCAAGGCAGTCCAAGAGAGCCCCAAAACGGCACAACAGGGTTCCAAGATGTGGCACACGAGAGCCCCATGACGGCCCAAGATCAAGGCACCTTTCGAAGCATTACGAATCGTGACTCAGTCGTTCAGGGAGACCGCGGTTGGAGGCAGGGTGGCCCGAGGAAGCCCCCAGAAGACGCCCAGAAAGCCTCCAGAAGGCCTGAAGAAAGCCTGAAAAACTTCCGTGAGGCCACCAGAAGCCCTCCAAGGAGGAGCCTCCCCAAAAAGAGCTGAGGAGGATGGGGAGAGTACGCAGGTTAGGGCGAAAATGACTAAAACTAAGCATGAAGGAAAGTAGACCGAATTATTAAAACTGCGACGCAGGAAAAGGCAACAAGGAGTTATCGCAAAATTGTCGGTTTGACCTTCCTGCCATTCCACCTGCACACCAAACTTCAAGGACCAAGGTGCATGGCGCGAAGCGCCAATGCAGTCCGTAAGCTTTTACATTTATAGATGCACATAGATATGCATATATATACATATATATACATATATATATATACATATATATACACATATATAAGGGGTGGTCCACCTTCCCACCCCACCCCACCATCCCCCCCCCCCCCCCCAAAAAAGGCAAGAGACGAAAAACAGATGCAACTACGAGTTGATGTTCTGTTTGTTTCTCAATAGTGTTTCTCTCTCTCTCTCTCTCTCGTTCCTCTTCCTCCTCCTCCTCATCATCATCATCATCCTCTTCCTCCTTATCATCCTTCTCTATGTTTCCTCATCATCCCGTCTCCTCCTCCTCCTCCTCCTCCTCATCATCATCATCATCATCATCATCAGCATCATCATCATCATTCTCCTCCGCCACCACCTCCTTCCTTTCCTCCTCCTACTTCTCCTCCTCCTCCTCCTCCCTCTCCATCCTCGTCCTCCTCCTCCTCCTCCTCTCCTCCTCCTCCTCCTCCTCCTCCTCCTCCCTCCTCCTCCTCCTCCTCCTCCTCCTCCTCCTCCTCCTCCTCCTCCTCCTCCTCCTCCTCCTCCGGGTACAACCTGGACACTTCCAAGACGGCTCCCCGGGGTCGAGCAGCACGCGGCGAGGAGACCCAGGAGCTCCAAAACGCGGCGGGTGGTGCGCCACGTCGGCGACGACGGAGAGGTGCTCGCCGTGGTGCCTGCTGAGCGCCCTGTGGGCCGCGTCCGCCCTGAGCACGTGGCGGGTGCCCGCCCACAGCTGGCGAGCGGGAGAGCAGCCTGAGAGAAATTTCGAGTTGCACCGCTGCCCGCTGCACGGGCTGGCGCCGGCTGCGGGTTCGGTGACGTGCGGGCTCCTCAGACGAATGGCCTCGCGGACCTCAGACACCCGGAAGAGGAAGAGGAGGGGGGGAACGGAAGAGGGAGGACGGAGGAGGGAGGAGTGGAGGGAGAGAAGATGGAAAATGTGGGAGGAGGGCCCCCATCATCAACCAAAGCATGCGGGGAGGGGGCGAGAGAGGGGTCAGTCAGACCACATCGACCCCTTGGACCTCGTCCAGGGAACAGCCCTGGCAGGCGTTTTCGGGCCGCGCCCGCCCCTGGAGGCGGGGAGGGGCTCCCCTCAGAGTGTCGGCAGGGAGCACGGCGACAATCGAACATCAGCTCGACGACGGGTGAGATTGGTGCAGCAGCCCATCAGCATCGCCAGACCTATCTCCACCCCAGGCGGGCCAGGGATCCTCAGCGCCACCAGCCGACCCAATCTAGGTGAGGGTGGACGCCGCGAAACCCGACGGAGACAGCTTGGATAGCGGGGCAACGGGGCCAAAGCTTTCCCAATGGGGATGGGGGAGAGGTCGAACGATGCTGAACCCAACGAGACAGAACTGCGATGCTGTTGTATCGGTTGCTCAACCAGTGCCCCTCCAATTATACAGCTAATTGTGTTGCTATACGGGATGCCTGCTCCAGCGCCGCGCCATCTCAGCACAGCCCGCCGAGGCGCCCAGCTACAACTGCAATAGATTGA